ATGATTTGCTGTGAACAATTGAAAAGGCAATAATGCTTTGAGGCCAGAGATGAGCCATAGCACTTGTTCAACTTCTTTTTTAAAAAGTTTATATTTTTATATATATATATGTAAGTCTTTGGTTATTCGGGTTTTCTCCCGCGTAAAATTGGAGGTGTCTTGGCAACGTTTCGATGAAGTCTCATTCGTCATCTTCAGGCTGGTGTTTTCGGCTTCGTGCTTCTAGGAGCAATGTGTGTGATCGCAGCTGTTTCTTCCTTTTAACTGCCAGTGGGGGTGTGAACTGATTGGGTGGGAGCTTGGCTGTGTTCTGATATATATAATATAATATAATATAATATAATATAATATAATATAATATAATATAATATAATATAATATAATATAATATAATATAATATAATATAATATAATATAATATAATATAATATAATATATATATATATATAAAATGTATTTATATATTTTCAATTAACATACGTATGTCCTTTGTGAACAGTGTAATGTCCGGTTCAGTTTCTTACATAATAATATATAACATACAATAACAACAATAATATTGGGTAATATTGATGATGATAACAACAACAATAATAATAATACACTGTTTTCCCGAAAATAGGATCCAACCGGAAAATAAGTCCTAGCATGATTTTTCAGGATGCTCGTAATACAAGCCCTACCTCCAAAATAAGCCCCAGTTAAGATTGTCAGCCAGACATTTAGTACTGTATTTCCCCCAAAATGAGACCTAACCAGAAAATAAGCCCTAATGCGTCTTTTGGAGCAAAAATTAATATAAGACCCAGTGTTATTTTCAGGGAAACACGGTAATCATCATCATCATCATCATCATCATCATCATCATCATCATCATCATATGAAACACAAAACTGGGATATCAAATCTCAAGCCAACACGGCAAGATAAACCATCTACTATACACGGATGACTTAAAAATGTATGCAAAAAGCCCCACTGAACTTAAATCAATACTCAACACAGTTCAACTGTTCAGCCGCGGCATCAAAATGAACTTTGGACTTGAAAAATGTGCTATATTATCCATGCAGCAAGAAAAAATGGAAAAAAAAATTAGAAGGAATAGAACTGGGAAATGGAAACACAGTAAAAGCGTCAGCAAAGGAATGATGGTTACAAATACCTAGGCATTTTGGAAGCAGATTTATTTATTTATTTATTTATTTTTCAGATTTCTATACCGCCCTTCTCCTTTCGGACTCAGGGCGGTGAACAGCCAAGATAAAAACATTTATACACAAAAGTTAAAAATAGATTTAAAATAATTAAATAAATTTGGCCCGTAATTTAAAACTTTTCAATTAAAATCCATATCAAATTTTAAAACCAACCGTAAAATCAGGACAGCCTGGCTAACTGAAAAAAATAGGTTTTTAGGGCCCGACGAAAAGTCCGGAGGTCGGAGATCACTCGTATCTCTGGGGGTAGATCGTTCCAGAGGGTAGGTGCCACCACAGAGAAGGCTCTCCCCCTGGGGATCGCCAGCTGACATTGTCTGCCCAACGGCACCCTGAGGAGGCCCTCTCTGTGGGAGCGAACTGGCCGGTGGGAGGCTATTGGTGGCAGAAGGCGGTCCCGTAAGTACCCCGGCCCTAAGCCATGGAGTGCTTTAAAGGTAATCACCAACATCTTGAAGCGTACCCGGAAGTCCACCGGAAGCCAATGCAGCTCGCGCAGGAGAGGAGTCACATGGGAGCGCCCCGTCGCTCCCATAATCCCCCGCGCGGCCGCATTCTGCACCAGTTGGAGCCTCCGGGTGTACCCCAAGGGGAGCCCCATGTAGAGAGCGTTACAATAGTCCAGACGAGAAGTGACGAGTGCTTGAGTGAGCGTGCGTAGGGAGTCCCGATCCAGAAAGGAGCGCAACTGGCGTATCAGGCGAACCTGATAAAAAGCCATAAAATCTTGAATGGAAAAGTCAAAGAGTCAACGCAAAAGGAATACTTCAGGAGGGTCCACAAAATATTAAAATCAAAGCTGAATGCTGGAAACATAATTAGAGACATTAATACGTGAGCAGTTCCAGTGATATGCTACTCGACTGGAATCATCAACTGGACTTGGGCTGAACTGGAAAACTTGGACCGGAAAACGCGCAAACTTTTGAATATGTACCACGCTTTACATCCACGAAGTGACATCGACAGGTTGTATGTATTGCCCAGAAAAATAGGGAGCAGAGGACTATTGCAAATCCATCAAACTGTAGAAGAAGAAAAACGAAGTTTGAAGGATTACGTGAACCAAAGTGCAGAAAAATTGCTGCAGGCTGTGAAAACGGAGAACATTATAAAAAACAACAGAAACAAAGGCAGAATATAAGGAAAAACAGACGGATGACAGATTAAACGGATGGAAAACCAAAGCTTTGCATGGACAGCGCTTGAAAAACATTGAAGGAAAGTGTGATGACAACTTGACAGGGGCATGGCTTAAGAGGGGAACCATCGAGAAAGAAACGGAAGGTTTAATACCGGCTGCTCAAGAACAAGCACTACAAACTAATGCCACGAAAGCAAAGATACAAAAATCCACCGACAATCCAAACTGCCCACTTTGCAACAACAAAGTCGAAACTGTTTCACATTTATTATGTGAATGCCGCAAAATCACACAAACTGATTACAAAGCTAGACACGACCGAGTTGCTAAATTAATCCACTGGTCATTATGTAAAAAATACAACTTTCCTGTATCCAAAAAATCATGGGAACATAAAATGGAAAAAGTTGTTGAAAATAAGAAGGTGAAGATCTTCTGGGGCTTTCGAATACAGATGGATCGTCCTTTGGAACACAACATGCCAGATATCCCCAGTTGTCGAAAACCTGAAGCGTACAATTTATTGATATCGCTGTACCAAGGAGACGCCAGAGTCAAAGAAAAAAGAACTGGGGAAAAAATCATGAAATATCGCGACCTGGCCATCGAAACTACGTGATTATGGCTGAAGCATGTAACAGTGATACCCATTGTCATCGGGGCACTTGGCACCATGTCCAAGAATTTTACAAAACACATCAAGAAGAATGGAACAGAACAGAACAGAACAGAACAGAATAGAAAATATGGAATCGAATGGAATCGAATGGAACATAACAACATAACATAACATAACATAACATAACATAACATAACATAACATAACAGAACAGAACAGAACAGAACAGAACAGAACAGAACAGAAAATATGGAACGGAACGGAACAGAACAGAACAGAATAGAACATAGAATACCGGTAGAAAATACGGAATGGAATGGAATGGAATGGAATGGAATGGAATGGAATGGAACGGAACAGAACGGAACGGAACGGAACAGAACAAAACGGAACAGAACAGAACAGAACAGAATACCAGTAGAAAATACGGAATGGAACGGAACAAAACAGAACAAAACAGAACAAAACGGAACAGAACAGAACCGAAAAGAAGAGAAAAGAAGAGAAAAGAACAGAACAGAACAGAAAAGAAAAGAAAAGAATAGAAAATATGGAATGGAATGGAACGGAACGGGACAGAATTAAATTACTATGTTATCAGGACTAGGGGGTCCCAAAAACCAACGGAGATTTTACGATGCCTCCCTTATTGTGGTTAATATCATCCTGATCTGTTTTGTGTGTCTTTCTAGGATTACTGTATTATTTTAAATTGTGACTGGCTTTTTTTTTTTAAAAAAAGTATTGATTGCTCTTTTTGAACCGAGCCTTGTAGACTACCCAGAGTCCCTTTCTTGTGAGATGAGCGGACTTTTTTTTTTTTTTTAGGGATGGATACGGATAGTTCTCAATTTACGACCACAAATGGAGCCCCGCAATTCCGCGTGCTAAGTGAATTTTGCCCCGTTTTACGACTTTCCTTGCCACGTCCGTTGAGTTACAAACCCACTCGTCGAGTGAATCCGGCTTCCTCCTGGTCAGAAGGTCGCCAAAGGGAATTGTTTCATGACTCCCCGGGGACGCTGCAACCGTCATAAAGGAGAGTCCATTGCCAAACGTCTGAATTTGGATCGTGTTGACCAAGGGGAAGTTGCAATGGTCGTAAGTCTGAAAAATGGCCGCAAGTCACACAGTGATGGGATTCAGCCGGTTCGCACCTCTTCAGGAGAACCGGTTGTTAACTTTCTGAGCAGTTTGGCAAACTGTTTGTTGGAAGAAATCATTAGGGCAGAGAACCAGTTGTTAAATTACTTGAATCCCACCACTGAAGTCACATCGTCAGCATCGTTGTAACTTTGAATAGTCACTAAGCGGACAATTGTAAGTTGAGGGTTACACCCGTATTCCCTTCCTCACCTGTCCATCTATCTGTTTTCCTTCAACCTTGTAGGTTGTCTCGGATGGATCTCTACTCATCGACATCTCCTTGCTCATGCGCTGATGTCACAGGTGGTATTCAGCCGGTTCAGACCGGTTCGGGTGAATCGGTACTGGCGACTTGCCCACTCACCCGGTCGAAAATCCCATCCTATATTGCTAGGTGTGGTGTGGTGCGTGCGGTTTTCGACACAGCACGCACTCGGGGACGACCCTCATGAGCGAATTGCCGTGTCGTTTGATGTCGCACGCATGCATGCGCCAGTGAATTGCTGTGTTTTGTGAAGCCGCACGCATGTGGGGATGGTGTGCATTCACATTTCCGGTGCTGGCTGAAACAGTTACTACAGTATATGAAGCCCACCTCTGTTTGATGTCCTGACTCACCATGGAGACAGAAGTGGCCCACCTAATTTTCCTCTTCCGGGTCGCAGAGTTTTCCTCCGGTGAGGAAAAGAAAGATCTCAGTTAGGCTCCTGGGCCAAGGTTTATGGGAGAAGAAGAAGAAGAAGAAGAAGAGAGAGGGGGAGGAAGAACTAGAGAGGAGGAGGAGCAAGAGAAGGAGGAGGAGGAGGACAGCTCATCTTCTGAGTTGGCTTGGAGGCATCTGGGTGTAACTCACAAGTGGAGAACAGCCGGTTCGGAAGCAATTCATTTCTTCTCAATCTATCCTCACCCTTGAGAGGCACGTTCTTCTCTTCTTCTTCTTCTTCTTCTTCTTTTTCTTCTTCTTCTTCTTCTTCTCCTCGATCCCATCACCAGGATGGACCAGAACAGATCTTCTCAGAACCAGCCTGGGGAACCGGTGATCTACAAGGTTGAAGTGACTACGGGGCATGGCCTTTTAACCGGGACTTTCGACCTGATCTCCATCGCCTTGGTGGGCACCAATGGAGAAAGCCCCAAGATGTATCTGAATCAGTTTGGGATGACCTGCTGTCAAGGATCGGTAAGATTTGGGTTCGAGTCCCAAGAGGAAAGAAGTTGGGAGATGGTAGCTTAGCTCTTGGAATAGATTTTGATCCAGAGAGACAGAATAAGACAACAACAGAGTTGGAAGGGCTCTTGGAGGTCTTCGGTTCCAACCCCTAGTCAACCCCTTATGCTATCTCAGAATAGATCAGAATAGAATAGAGCTGGAAGGGGACTTTGGAGGCCTCCTAATCCAGCCCTCTGCTCAAGCAGGAGAGCCTATTACCCTCTCAGATGCATTTCCGACAAATGGCTGGCTAATCTTGTCTTCAAAGCCTCCAGTGATGGAGAACCCACAACTTCTGGTGGCAAGAGGTTCCTTTGGTTAATTGCTCTCCCTGTCAGGAATTTTCTCCTTAATTCCAGGTTGCTTCTCTCCTTGGTTAGTTTCCACCCGTTGCTTCTTGTCCTGCCTTCAGGTGCTTTGGAGAACAGCTTGACTCCCTCTTCTTCTTTGGGGCAGCCCAATGAGATGCTATCATCTCATCCCTGTTCCTTCTTTCCATCACACTGGAGAAGACGAGGATATTGTAGGTGTGGTGTCCCCACATCTCACTGTCCTCTTCTTCGCCGAGCTGGTCGAGATGATTTTAGTCTTCGACTTAGACTAACTTTATTGTCACTCTGAATGTCCACGAATCGGCGTACATTAAAATGAAATTTCGTTGCTTACAGCTCTCAAAGGGTCTCCCTCTCTAATAAGACACGACACAGATATGGCAAAATAAATAAATACAGACAGAATTATGCCCGCATACCTTATTTTTCGGAGTATAAGACACACCTTTTTCCCGCCGAAAAGGGGGTGAAAATTTAGGTGTGTTTTACACACCGAATGTAGCCCCGCCCACCCACTGGCCCCCACCCTTTGGCCTCTGCCTCGCAGCAGTTACCTCCTTGCAAGCAAACAGCAAGAAAAAAACAGCTCCTTTTAGCTTCAGCACAGCCTAATTAGCACAAGTTGATTGGATCGGCCTCCCGACTCTCAGCTGATTTGCTCTCATCTGTTTTGCGCAGGGTTCTGCTGCTTGCTGCAAAGAGGTAAATTGCTGGGAGCAGATTTTTTTTTTCCTCCTTGTGCTAATCAAGCTAGGCGGAAAACGAAACTGAAAGTAAAGCAGGCTGTTTGCTGTTTGCTGCAAAGAGGCAAAATTGCTCAGAGGCAGAAGCAAAGGCAAATTTCTTTTCTTCTTTTCCTCACCAAAAATGGTAGGTACGTTTTATACTCCAGTACGTCAGTGGTGGGTTCCTCCCGGTTCGGCCCGGTTCTGCCGAGCCGGTAGCGGTGACGATATGACATCACCGAACCGGTTCTGCCCCCCCGCCCCCCACCCCCCGCGTTATTCTTACTTTTTATTTGGCCCCACCCCCAATCTATTGCTGCCGCCTGAGTCCCAGCTGATGGCTAGAGGGAAAAAAAACTGTTTAAACTCTTGCTGTGGGGCTTCAAAGGGCCGCCCTACAGCTGATCAGTGTTAAAAGAAAACAAACGAGTAGACCAGTGCCTGCAAAAATACATGAGTAGATCAGTGCCTGCAAAAATAAATGGGTAGACCGGTACAGCTCTACAAGTAGTTAAAAGCCTGGTAGACCAATACCTCTGCTAAATCCTAAATAATTGTCACATGACCATCAAGCCACGCCCACAAAATAAGCCATGCCCACAGAACCGGCAGTAAAAAAATTTAGAACCCATCCCTGCGGTGCGTCTTATACGCCGAAAAATACGGTATGTTATATGACCCAGAGAAACAACACCGTTTTAAGTCTGGATGTATAATGGTGGACTTGGAGGAACCAAAGATGGTGGACTTACTAACTAGACCTCACCTGATTTAGGACTTCATGCTTCTTCTGAATGTCGTGGAGCTTTCTGAAGCGATCTCGACTTGGGTTGAACCCCTCCATGGATCTGAGGGGTCTTGCAGTTGGACAAACGGAGGAACCTCTGCATTTTGGGGTGGGGGAGGGGCTTTCTGGGATTGCCCCTCCCCCCCGCTAGATATTGACAGATCCATTTCTCAAGTGTCGGGACTGCTGGGGGGATTGACTCCCCCCAGAGGTGGAATCCAAGGATTTGAATCTGATCCCTTTATTGCGGATTTTTAAAATTGTGAGCGCGACTGGCACACATTAAAAACGAAATTCTGTTGCCTGCTCTCAAAAGGAAGGATATATCTACCTGTACACATACATAACACACATATACACATACTCTATACATACATACATACATACATACATACACTTACACCCATCCCTCCCTCCCTCCATACCTACATACATAGAGTATCTACATACATACGTATACTTTAGTGGTGGGTTGCTCCCGGTTCGGTCCAGTTCTGTAGAACCGATAGTAAACCCGGCGGGAGGCTCCGCCGATCCACCACGACGTCATCATGGGTGATCTGCGCATGCGCAGAAGCTTCTATGCATGTGCAGAAGCGTTCGCGCTCCCGTTGCAAACCGGTAGTAAAGGTAAGTAGAACCCACCCCTGATATACTTACATCCATACCTTCCTCCCTCCCTCCATACAGACATATACCAGTATATGTATATATATATATCATATTTACACCCATCTCTCCATACCTCCATATTTCCGTACTCCAAACCTACATACTCCATACCTACATATTCCATACCTGCATACCTCCATTTTCCTCCATATTCCATACTCCATACAACCATACCTCCATACGTCCATTCTCCTCCATATTCCATACCTCCATACTCCATAGAAACATATCTCCATACCTCCATATTCCATACCTCCATACCTTCATACCTTCATACTCCTCTATTTTCCATATCTCCATTCTCCATACCGTCATACCTTCATACCTCCATACTCCATACCACCAAACCTACATATTCCATACCTACATATTTCATACCTCCATACCTCCATTCTCCTCCATATTCCATATCTCCATACTCCATACAACCATACCTCCATACTCTATATCTCCATATTCCATACCTCCATACTCCTTACAACCATAACTCCATACCTCCATATTCCATACCTCCATTCTCCTCCATATTCCATACCTCCATACACTATATCACCATACCTCCATACCTCCATACCACCATACCTCCATACCTCCATACTTCCAAGCCTCCGTACCTCCATACTCCATACCTCCATACCTTCATACCTTCATAACCTCATACCTCCATCCTCCATACCACCATACCTACATATTTCATACCTCCATACCTCCATTCTCCTCCATATTCCATACCTCCACACCTCCATTCTCCTCCGTATTCCATATCTCCATACTCCATACAACCATACCTCCATACCTCCATACTCCATACCTCCATATTCCATACCTCCATTCTCCTCCATATTCCATACCTCCATACACTATATCACCATACCTCCATACCTCCATACCACCATACCTCCATACTTCCAAGCTTCCGTACCTCCATACTCCATACCTCCATACTCCATACCTTCATACCCTCATACCTCCATCCTCCATCCTCCATACCACCATAACATCATATTCCATTACTCCATACCTCCATACTCCCTACCTCCATTTTAAATAAATAGTGGAAGGAGGAAGCTTTGAGATGGAAAAGATAGTTGGCCAAACTGAAGCCCTCTGTGGAACCCACCATGCATCTGGGATCCTTTTCAGACAATACAAGAGGTTGTAAAGTCCCTTAAGGACCACCAAGTTCTCCGATGGCAACCACGTCCAAGTGAAAACCTCTTTGGAGCGAGGTTCACCTTATCTCCTCTTCCCAACTTTGTTGTCCACCTGAATCCTTCCTGGCTGTGAAGGAATTCTGGACAGAAGTGACCAGAAGTAACAGCTCGGTCATCCATCCGAAATATTGATGGGTTATTCCTTAACACCCCTCCCTCTGTATCTCTCTCCCCCCTTTCCCTCTCTTTCTCCGCCTCTTCCCTCTCCCTCTGTATCTCTCTTCCCCTTTCCCCCTCCCTCTGTATCTCTCTCTCCCCCTCTTTCCCCCTCCCTCTGTATCTCTCTCTCCCCCCTTTCCCTCTCTTTCTCCCCCTCTCCCTTTCTCCCCCTCTCTCTATCTCTCTGTGTGTCTCTCTCTCCCCCCTCTCTTCCCCTTTCCCCCTCCCTCTGTATCTGTCTCTCCCCCTCTCCCTCTCTCTCTCCCTCTTTCCCCCTCCCTCTGTATCTCTCTTCCCCTTTCCCCCTCCCTCTGTATCTCTCTCTCCCCCCTCTCCCTCTCTCTCTCTCTCCCTCTCTTTCCCCCTCCCTCTGTATCCCTCTCTCCCCCCTCTCCCTCTCTCCCCCCTCTTTCCCTCTCCCTCTGTATCTCTCTCCCCCTCTCCCTCTCTCTCTCTCCCCCTCTTTCTCCCTCCCTCTGTATCTCTCTTCCCCCTCTCCCCCTCTCTCTCCGCCTCTTCCCTCTCCCTCTATCTCTCTTCCCCTTTCCCCCTCCCTCTGTATCTCTCTCTCCCCCTCTTTCCCCCTTCCTCTATATCTCTCTCTCCCCCCTCTCCCTCTCTTTCTCCCCCTCTCCCTTTCTCCCCCTCTCTCTATCTCTCTGTGTGTCTCTCTCTCCCCCCCTCTCTTCCCCTTTCCCCCTCCCTCTGTATCTGTCTCTCCCCCACTCCCTCTCTCTCTCCCTCTTTCCCCCTCCCTCTGTATCTCTCTTCCCCTTTCCCCCTCCCTCTGTATCTCTCTCCCCCTCTCCCTCTCTCTCTCTCTCCCTCTCTTTCCCCCTCCCTCTGTATCCCTCTCTCCCCCCTCTCCCTCTCTCCCCCCTCTTTCCCTCTCCCTCTGTATCTCTCTTCCCCTTTCCCCCTCCCTCTGTATCTCTCTCTCCCCCTCTCCCTCTCTCTCTCTCCCTCTCTTTCCCCCTCCCTCTGTATCTCTCTCTCCCCTCTTTCCTTCTCTTTCTCCCCCTCCCTCTGTATCTCTCTCTCCCCCCTCTCCCTCTCTTTATTCCCCTCTCCCTTTCTCCCC